TTCCCATACCCTCTTCGAAACGAAATGCCTTTCCTTGCATACATTATGCAAATGTGCTAAGTTATTGCACCCGGTACAGAGGCGGTTATACTGCTTGACCGATCACATAAGGTGCCTGTAAGTGGGCAATACAATGGGCACTGCCATTCACTTCCATGGGTGTGTATGTGCATAAATACAGTACAGAGCTCAATGGACGTTTGAGAACCCTACGTGCGTCTCTTGTAGTCACCGCTATTATAATGCACAAATCGCTTTTCAATGGCAACAAACTTCTGCGCCACTAACCTTTCACCACCACTCGGTACCTTTGCACTCTTCGTTTACATTCTTCAAGTGCCCTACGCCTCAGTACATAAATTCAGAACGTTGGACTTAATGGTCGATTGAAGCGATTCATTGGCTATATGTACATAGACATTTCTCCTTAAGGGAGCGGTCAGTTATGAAATGATGGTCTGCGGATTGGTTGATGATTTATTTTATTTGCAAGTAAGTATGTATATGGATGAATGAAGTTATAGCTGTCGACGCCTCAAAGTATACGACAGCTTTTATTCATTGCTAAGTTGATTGATCCTATTTGGTTATTTGACGAATGGCAAAGCACTGTACATAGTTATATATTGTATTTTTTGCTTCCTTGAATTTCTTTCCACTTTGAATTACGACACCGTTCAGGTCGATCAGAAGTATGCAGAATTAGATGCTAAAGCCACTGGGATAACTACTTTAACATTCACTTTTCATATTTCGGTTAATTCACATGTACATATTACATATTCTATCCTCATACCCTCTAATCATCGCCTTACGCTAAAGCTCCTTTCTTGGAATCGATGAGCTTAAAATATAAATGTGTGCGCGATTTCCGCCCACATATTTTGTGCTTTTATTGGCTTCCAAACTGTTTGGCAAACACGAAAAGCTTTATTAGTACCAATTAAACTTTCAGTGTCGAGCTTTTCTAATACTGCAACTACTTGGTTTAAAAGAGCTTTTCAAACAATTAAGTAGATAATTGAACTTTGACTTTTTTTATGGCAAAACTTTTAAAGCTAGGCATAATTACTAAAAAAAGTATAGTTTAAAAAACTAAAAGCTCGCTTTTATAATTTCCATTATCAGGTTACTTTATGAAGGGAAATTTAAAGAAAGGTATGTAACTTGCTAATGGAAATCGCTGCATCTTTTAGGAGCATCAATATTACATAGTTGCATCCCAAGCTAACAAAAGCGAGTTAAAAAATTATAGCACTTTTTCGTTAAGGGCGCCGTCTTACGTAGAATAAGAGTAGTATGCTTACATATTGTAGGGCCAAAGCTGGTATAGCTTCCTTGTCAAATGCTTAATGCTGACGGCTACTTATGCTCCGGATTACTAATATCATAGATCTGAAAGTTTGTGAGTGAGCGCCTGTGAGAGTATGTTTGTTCCTCTCTCATACCAAAATGGCTGAACGCATTGCAATAAAACTGGACACACAGATAGATTATAGCCTATATAAATTAGATTAATAAAGAAGCTTAATAAAATACTTTACTATGGTAATGAAACCAGAGTAATTTAAGAAAGGTTTATATCGAAAACACTTTCAAGAGGGTTGCCACCTATTTATAAACTCTAAATTAATATAATTTACGAATACCAAACAAGAGAGATTTAATTAAGGTTGCCCCACTTTGATAAATAAGCTTATTTAAACCATTTTAAATACATAGGTGTCAATCGAAAATATATTTAAAAAGGCCTTATTTATTTATTAATATTTTAAGAGCGGGTTGCCACGTGTTTAGAAGTTCAGAATGAATTAATTAACAAATAAATATTTTAATATTTCAAATGAGAGCTTTAAGTAAGCTTAGTGTCTATAGTATTTTTGGAGAAAGTTGTCACCTGCTCGAAATATTTTAATGTCACTTTAATTAAAAAGATAACTTAAACCGTTTATTATGCACAGGTGTCAATTGAAAATATGTTAAAAATTCTTTATAACTTTATTTATGTTTGTGTATAGAGTTGCCAAGTGGTTAATAATATACTTAATTAGCACATAGAATTAAATATTTCAATATAAGTGTCAAAGGAGAAGGATTTAAGTAGGCTTAGTATCTAAATTTTTATTGAACAGGGTTGTCATCTGCTCAAAAAGTTCAAATTAATTTTATTGATATGCTTATTTCAACCTTTTAATATAAATATGTAGGTGTCAATCGAAAATAAGTTAAGGTTTTATTTCTTTGTTTTAATTTTTAGAGAATCAATTTTACCAACAAATTAAACATTTTAATATGGGTGTCAAATGAGAGTGGTCTAAGTAGGCTTATTGTCTAAAATGCTTTTGGAGAAGGTTGCCACCTGCCCAAAAATTTAGAGTCAATTTAATTAATAAGCAAATTTGAACCTTTTAATCATTAAAAAAAAGGTGTCAATTTGCAAAATATTAAAAATTCATGGCTTATATTTTTGGAGAGGGTTGCGACGTGTGGTCAAAGCAACAACCCAAAAAATTGTTAAGCGCAAAATATTTATTTGTTTTTATTAAAGTACACTTTTCTCGAAACAAACTGATTTATTGGGCGTCAGTTTCATGCTTCCAACTTCAACCGCGTAATTGTTCCTTCCACCAATAAACATATATACATATATATGTATGTATGTATGTAACGTATGTTCGTGTATGAGCATTTCATTCATTCCTTTACTTATTTATACACGTATACAAATACTTACAATTGTACACTCCTCACCATATCAATAGCTCATCATTTTAATCCTTCGTACTTGCAGTTTTCCTTGGGTTTATTTAATATTCAAGTATTTTTATAAGGTTTTGTAAACTAGGTTAATTTATTTAATTTTCATTTATTTTTATAATTTTTTATAAAAATATAGCATATTCTACGTATAAATCCAATCTAAAAATTTTACACAAATTTGAAAAACGTCAACAAAGGGCCCGGCCGTGAATAAGTTAATAATATTTTTAGAAAAATTTCCGATATGCAGTTTTGTAGTAAATTCAATTTTGGTAAAATAAAGTGCAAATTTCAAATGGCTATAAAATACCGTAAATTTTTTTTTATTTGCATTTTCTTCCATACAAAGTATGCGCGACAGAATTTTTATATTTGAAACTTGCACTTTATTGCACTAGGATTGAGTTGGCTAACAATCGCATACCCGAAATTTTTCTAAAATTATTATAAGCTTATTAGCTGTCAGTTATTAAGATAGAGCACTACTTTCCTTGGTTTTTTTTTTAATTTCTATAAGATTTGAAAATCGAATTTAAATTATTTTTGCTATATGTACATATAATATGCTATATTTTTATAAAACATTTATCAATTTTAAATAAACAAAAGGAAAACTGTAAATATTAAGACGAAAGAGGGTGCGCTATTCAAATGAGGAGGACTGTATGTATGTATATATGCCCGTCTATGTCACATTACCCGCTTCTCCTTCCATCTAAACGCAAATGAATTTTTCATGTTTTTCATAAGCGGTCAACAAAAAACATACCCCAGCTGATCTTTATCTCGTGTCACGTCATTCATTCATTCACTTACTCTAACAACCGACGCGTATTTTAGCAACTAAATATGTATTACTGAACTTGACTTAGTTTTAGTTAGGCAAAGCAAAGTGAACGTGAAAGATCTAAACACCAGGAATATAAAAAAGGAAATATAAATAAATAAATAAATCTGTGTAAAATATGTGGCCGCAAATTTAGTTTAAATTTGTGTATATTTTCTTAAAAACGTAGAAGTACACACATACATATGTATGTAAACTAATCACAATGCTATGGATGGAAACGTATCTTTTCTATTGTTCCGTGCGTTTGGGTCTCATAGTGGTGGCAGCATTTGCAATTGTGAGTGTTTTTCCGTTTATGTTAATATATTATGCATATAGAAATGGGAGGTCAAATTTGTTTATACACACATCCATACATATGTTTTTTTTTATGTATGGATGTATGTACATATGTATATTCTCCATAGATTCAGGTATTCATACCGGCAATTTTGCTGCTTTCAATGGGCATGGACTTGCTGGATCCAGTAATAAAACTATTCCAAAATGATGATCAACATGGCGAAAATCGTGTGGTACTAAAAATTTTAAACTGGGTCGAAAATCGTAAGTCAAAAAAAAAAAGGTTGAAAAAATATTTATTGCATTAGTGTTGCTTTTTCTTTACTTTTTATGAAGTTAGTAAATTATTTAATGGCTGTGTTTGAGGAAGGAGCATCATACAGGGCATTGATGAAACGGAGTTGCCAGTTTAAATAAAGCTTATTCATACGGTGACCATATTAAAAAACAAAAAAAGATTAGNGCAGCATTTGCAATTGTGAGTGTTTTTCCGTTTATGTTAATATATTATGCATATAGAAATGGGAGGTCAAATTTGTTTATACACACATCCATACATATGTTTTTTTTTATGTATGGATATATGTACATATGTATATTCTCCATAGATTCAGGTATTCATACCGGCAATTTTGCTGCTTTCAATGGGCATGGACTTGCTGGATCCAGTAATAAAACTATTCCAAAATGATGATCAACATGGCGAAAATCGTGTGGTACTAAAAATTTTAAACTGGGTCGAAAATCGTAAGTCAAAAAAAAAGGTTGAAAAAATATTTATTGCATTAGTGTTGCTTTTCTTTACTTTTTATGAAGTTAGTAAATTATTTAATGGCTGTGTTTGAGGAAGGAGCATCATACAGGGCATTGATGAAACGGAGTTGCCAGTTTAAATAAAGCTTATTCATACGGTGACCATATTAAAAAAAAAAAAAGATTACAGACAGAAATGGAACTTGTATAGTGTATCAGCCAACACAGCTGGCGTAAGTCCCATTCCACACTTCGGAGTTACAAAATGGCGACGAACGCTGGCCAAAAACGTGTCCAAAAGCAAAGTGGAAAATATTCCTTTCCCGCGGGTATTTCCCTCCAACCCCAACAAAGCACCAAATGCTCTCTCCGTGCTTACTGCGACTAACTCCAGTACAGCGACAAGAATCGCCGTTTGGGAATGGTAAAGTGCGCCATTTCTATCTTCAGCGACAGCTCTGGGCTAAATAATAAAGTCGGCAGCAAAATCCGTATGGAATAACTACTTGTAAGCATAAACCTGCCGGAGGAGTTTGGGATATTTTAAACTGAATGAAAAGATATAAAGAAGGCTGTTCACTTCTAATAGTATTCTATTCTAAGCTAATTAGCTACGCGTTGCACAAAGAATGCAGTCTGGGTTCCTGGGCACAGCAATATTCCTGGAGGCAGCATTGCGAAATAGCTGACATGGAAGAGAACTAATGTGTAGTCGTTTAATTCTGCCACAAATGCCGTTAAGCAAACTATATTCAAACGAATTATGAGTCTCAAGTTCTCCCTAATTGTCTCTCCATTAGTTCAGAGGGCGGTTTTATTAACGGCCACATTCGGGAATACAAGAAGAGCGTACAGGCTTCATAATGACCTTTACTTTTAGGTAAAGAGCATCAAGTACTTTTTTTACCACTGCCCTGCCTTTTCCTAAATACGACCGCGTAATCTGAAACACATCTTTTACGATTGCAAAACGAACTAAGAATTCTTGAGTTTTTACAATCTTCTCCGCTGTGCACAGAAAAATAAGTGGGTCCTTCGCATTTGAAAGTAGATGAGGTACACATCAGCTCACGCGAATACATATAACGCTAAACTTGGCCATTGTGATTCCTTCACAGAGACAAAAGAATCGAAACTCCTTTAATTTCGTTAGAGACTCATTTCTTTGGAAATCAGTTAATGACTACGAGTCCCCCGGTTGGGACTCTGCCTGTTGTACTCAGGGAAAGTATTGAGCTATTGTTGACGTCCTTGATAAAGATGTTCAACCAGTTCCTTGCATTTTCTTGATAAACATGAACGCACTAGCCCTCAAAGCTTCAGGATTCGTACTGAAACGTCTGCGAAGATTGGTTGCGTTTCGCGTTCGTAAGCGGGTTTAACCAAAACCTGCGAGAAAACAATCCTTGTAGCGTTGGGACTAAAAAAGGAAAAATACGTTTGACACCGTCGTTTATTCTACGCTACTAGAATGTATTGAAGACTCCTCCCTACCGTAGGGACTAAACCGGTTGTAAGGGAATTATCAGAGGGGCCACCAGTCGTAATAGCTTTTCGAGACCAAACGTCCAACCAAGAAAGATTAAACAATAGGTCGCACAGGGTGGAGTCATATCCTTGTATTGTTTAACTTCTACAGCTTGAAGCTTCCTAAAAAACTATTACAAGCTGATCTCCTCCACCCTTTGGCATGTTCGGATATACACCATCTGGGCTTAGTGACTTCAAGTACTTAAAGGAGGCTAAAGAAAACCTCGCTGACCTGTCAGATACCATCCGTGATGCCAAGTACTAGTTTAGTCTGATGGCTCTTCTCGACGTGCTGTCCACTTCTGTCTGTGTCTGAACCTAGCCTGCTAATACGTTATATAACATCCATCGGATTTTCTGTGCAAGAGTCCAGCCAAACCGATAGGTTCTTTTGAAGTACCTTACACAGCCTGGCAGACTCTTTTATGTTGTCAATATCACTGCAGAAGTCTCTATAAAGACTTAGTTTTGGCGTAAGGTTTGGCCTCTTACACAGAAGTTCTGTGAACCTTTTACGATGCTTGTCAAGCTCAGAGTTCCACCGTTGGACCTCTTTTCCCTGCCTGCTTCTTCTTAGCGCACAAAGTAACCAACTAAAGTAATGGTAACATTGCTGGTCGCCCCTTTAATTAATTTAATGGTTTTGAGTTTAGGGAGTTCTAACATTCTCGTATCGGGGCGCAACTCAAACTTTTCCCAGTCCGCCTTTCGAGGTCTCCAACCTTTTAGCACTTGGCAAGTTTCAGTTCTAAGTCGAAATTCAATGAATCGATAATCAGATAGAGACTCCTTGTCCTAGGCGATATATCACTTCATCATCACTGTCTTCTGTTGAAAAAAGTAGGTTTGTTAGATACATAGTAAATATGTAGTGGCAGGTAGTAGTTAAGTACCGTAGAGTGGTACAGTAAGTAGTAAGTAGAAAATATTTAATGAGTGGTAAGTATTCATTATGAAGAAGAAAGTAGTAAATAGTAAGTGGAAGTAGTAACTAGTTAATCAATGAAAAGTAAAGCTTCAGCTGTCAATTTTAATAAAACAACTTCACTTACTACCACCTTACAGATGCCCAAGGATTTACAGCTACAGCTGTTACTTTTGTAGCAGTACATATAATTTGGTGTATTCTGGCAATTTTCGGTGCATTGAAGGTGAGTGCCAATTTAGTACCTTAAGGAAAATATCCAGAGATTTTGAAGTGAATCTTCTCTCCACTGGGCTCTAATTTCCCACTGCAAAGAAATGAAAAAGCAACAGAGGAAGGGGGGGATGGCGAGGGTAGTTGGGCATGATCAACATTAAGATTAAGTCTAAGATTGAGATTAAGATTACGATTAATATAAAGATTATGATTGAGATTGAGCTGAAGATTAAGATTAATATTTAGATTTAGACCAAGGTTTAGATTAAGCTTAAGATTATGATTAAGATTAATATTAATATTAATATTAATATTAATACATCTAAGTAATAAGATTCAGATTGAGCTTAAGATTAAGATAAAGATTGAAATCAAAATTACGATTAAGATTAACATTAAGAATAAGATTAAGATAAAGGCTAAGATTAAAATTGAGATTAAGATAAGTTATTTGTTTTTGTTGTTTATGGCTTTATAACAATTATATTAAAGAATTTTATTGAGCTTGAGGCCGTTTATAATGAAAACTATTTTGAAATAAATTATTGTTGTTTTTCCACAATAGTTTTCATTAAAAAGGCCTCAAGTTCAATAAAATTGTTGGATTAAGATTAAGATTAAGATTGAGATTAATTTTAAGATTAAGATTATGATTTAGATTAAGATTAATATTAAGATTAAGTTTAAGACTAAGATTAATATTAAGATTGAGGTTGAGATTAATATTAAGATTAAGATTAAAATTATGGTTAAGATTAAGACTAAGATTAAAATTTATATTTATGTTAAGATTAAATTTAAAATAAGGTTGAGATTTTAATTAAGATTTCGATTGAGATTAAGATTTAGCTAATCGTACTTTATTATGTAGAAAACGCCTCATTTAATATGGTGGGCTACGTACGTCTGTATACGGGTAATAAGAGGTTTCACTTCAATCGCGTACGGAGTCCACCCACAGCTATTTTTACCATATGTATTACAAAAACTTACCTTACTTTTTCTCTCCCTGATTGTAGCTTAAGAAATGGTTTTTACTTCCCTTCATGATCAGCGAGTTTATACGTGTGATGCAGGCCTGCGCTACGCATATCATTCTGATGATTATCTTGAAGAAGAAACTAAATTTAGGCATCTTGATCGCCTTAACCTTGCTGGGTGGTTTCCTTATATGTAAGTAGGCATTTTTGTTAAATTTTCTTAGAACCTAATTTTGAAATGTTTTTTTTTTCTTGTTCACTTGCTTAGTATACCTTGGCTACAATTGGGCCACCAGTGTTGCTCTCTTTCAAATCATCGAACTCGTACACACTGCACGCTATCGCAAACTCTATGGTGATGATCCATTCAATCCGCAAATACCGCCAAGCTATGCAAATGCTTCGCTACAACATGCCTATGGTACAGTAGAGAATGTGCGCGTGCTGGTCACACCAAGTAGCGGTGATATTGATGAGCAGAAACGACGGCAAGGCAAAGCGTTGACAGTGAAGGCCACAGCCATGCCAGTAATCGCGGTTTTACCTGCAAATTATAGAAATTCGCGTGCACCACAATTGCAAAAGAAGCAACGCAATTCTGCACAACAGCCACAATTGCAACCACAAGCTTACAAGACATATGAGTCAGAACAGAATGAGTACAATGCTGAATTTAATAATTGGCAATGGTCGGAGTTAATGGTCGGAAGACAACGAAAGGCGATGATGATTAAGCCGAATTGGTGAAAAATGGGCACGGAATTCTGTTTGTATGGAGCGCGGAACCGGTTTATAGGAGAAAATATCGCAAAGTTATATTAAAATTATTTTAGATATTTTGTGACTACACATAAGTGAATAAAATGGCAGAGGCTGTAAAGTGGATAAATCTTTATTTCTTTACATGGAAGATAGTCGCGACTGATGTCCAGATATTGAACCAAATGCAAGATTGTTATACGTATAGAGTCAGCAAAAAAAGGAACCATCAGCGTCAAGAGGGCTGGAGCCAATGAAAACCTTGACAGAGTTTGTTAACTAACTTGGACCGAAGAATAAGGGTCAGATCAGGTAAATATGTCAAAACGAGGAGTTGTATTCACAGATAATTCACACTTCGGCAACAGAGAAAACAGCGAAGGTTTGCTGTTGGCGTACTTTCCTTCGTGCCGAGAACGAAGTTTCGCCAGCAACGCTAATCCGGACCGGTTGGAAAGTCCCAAGTGTTTTAACCGCAATCTAGTAAAAGCTAGGCAATCTTAAAGGAAATATTGTCACCCAGATCCGGTGTGATGTTTTGTTAAACTTTCTGAGTCTTTATCCGACAGTGTTCTGTTAATACATGCACCAGAATTGAGATAATTAGCTTTGCGCGAAATTCACAAAATGTCAAGGGAACTCCGACTCTCTCTTTTTTTTCCTGATGATACTTGCTCGAGGGTGCCACGTCTGGCCAGTTCGTCAGCCAAACAATTTCCCTCGATATCAATATTGCCTTGCAACCTTACAAGTCTGACAAGTTAATACTCCTAAGCGACCGACAGAGTAGTCAAGAATTTCCTTACAGGAGATATGGATCTCTCGAACCGCACAACAGCAGCCAATTGATGCTGATGTCAGATAGTTGTACTGGCTCCAACTTACCGACTAGCGTATAAGTGAATTCCACCAGACAAAGAATAAATAAATATAAAATATAATGGGGTTAACAATAGTTTTATTTAAACAGGAAATAATTTTGGGAGAGAGGCCCCATCTCTTACCTGCATACGTATTTTGTCCTAGTAACTGTATTGAGCCACTAAAGCCGCCTTCGCTCTTTCTCTTCGATATTATCTTACCATCTAAAATCAAGCCCAAGTGTAAGACTGTATCAGAAAGTGCCAGGCAAATGCCTCCAATCGAAGGTCTAGTCGCTTGAGGTACCTTATACCTACTAAATAGTGAACAAAAACGAGATTGATCTTAGTGATGCTGTTACATTTACATCTTGAGGAAGGGGAAGCATCCTTGATCTCATACGCTCACGATTGTTTGGCTTTGGTAGCCTACTATGCACTTGACGACCTGCGATCGAAATATTAGTAATATTATGCTCTTCAGCGCCTTACTTTCTCTCCGTCTAAAGCCCTCATACCGACATAGTGAGTTTCTACTCCTGTCTATAGTCGAACACAATACGATGCTTTGTTGCCATTTTATTTGGCGACCGTTAAGTCCTGATAAGCGATTGGCACTCAGTGTCAAGTCAGCTAGTGTATTTCTATCAAGTAGAAGCTGTTCGTAAAAATCATGTCTTTCAGAAGCTGGGTACACTTGAAGAAACTAGCTAGGCGAGCGGAGCAAATATTTATTTTACTTTTCAATCAATTCCTTTTCGTTTACTATCGAAACTATGATCCCAGGAGGCATATGCTAGAAGCTGAACTATATTTCGCGCATGTCAGAATCTGCGATGTAAATACAGGCTATCACTGGCATTCTCCAAGTGTAGATTTTTGGGTTTTTTTAATGGGATTTACAAGAAATTCTAACTACTAAGATCGTAAAAATTCGCATTTCATTATTCAGGACATCTCGGAGTGGGAATGCCCGTGCTTAAAAAACGTTTAATTATCTGTTCATATAGGTTTGTAGCTGTCTTCATTCAGTGTTTATTGTAGCTTTATATTAACTTATTAATAGGCAATAATATTGAAATAAACGAAAACCCTTTCAAATAATATCTAAAAGTTTTTTAGTTAATTTATTAAATACAGTAATTGTATGCTTAGTACTAAAATTACAACTGAAAGCTAGGCGAAAAATTCTTATTACAAATAGATACACGTTTTTTATAATTAAATATCACGTTCGGCATTTGTTATTGATGCCATATAAAATTTTATACTCCGGTTGTATTACATTCTTAATGAGTCTATTCGTGCCTGGTACATATTTGAGACGTGGAGAATTTCTAACGAAATATTTTATACCCGGCGAGTGAACCAAAAATGCCGGATGAAGTACGAAATAATCATATCCCAGTAAGCACATGGCATAGCCCTGTAAATAAAAAATTAAAGCACAAAATAAGAAATAAGTAAATATGTATACATACATGTGGCAAATATTTCTATTTTTTAAATGGGACCACGTATTCCACTGGGAAAGTAGGTAAGCACCTTACGAGGTAATCTATGTTTTGTTTCAGCTTTTAGTATCAAAATTATCAACATGAACACCTCCCACGACGCATTACGCGGTCAGTTACAAAATAACGTGCCGCCGAAGTTATTTCCAAGCGACGAACTACTCAGAGCGACTGCTCTACATTCTACGTACTTTATAAAGTGGGTCTGAAATATGTGCTTTACTAATATATGCCATTGGTCATGATAACCATTTTGGTACTAAAAGCTGAGGGAAAACATGGATTACTTCGTAAGGTGCTTACCTATTTTCCCAGTGGGTATACAATGTTCCGACGCGCCGAATAAATTTCATAATGGCTCCACTAGTAAGGAAGAAAGTACATATATTTTAATGCAGCACAAGAGGAAGATAGTAGCTATAGAGGCGACTACCGACAATGCAACAGCTCATTGGGCAAGCATCGTGGACTTCCCAATGCCTCTGATCCAACAATATAGTGTTTCTTAGTTAACGATCACTTATCCAACCAGAAACCTTAAATAACCATAGCCGAGCCGAGCAGACCGGGCTGGCTAGCCAGCTCGTGGACCGCGACACGGTGTGCGCTGGAATCCAGTACAGATGTACGTCTGTGATAGTACATAGCACATCTAAACCTGCCCTGTACTCTGCCGCCCATCTTGAGGAAGTGTGGTGCACTTTTATCGCAGCCTAAGTATCGATGGGGTATAGTCGTTGTTCTCGTATGCAGTAACAGTTGCACGGCTATACTCAATCTCGACTCTTGCGTCCTTGTTCGCGCACTCTGGGCAACGAGAGCAACCCATGTGCGAGCTGCGGTAACCAATCCGAGTGGAGCCTTGGGTCACGTCAGAAAGATAGTGAGCTTCGGTGGGGCCACTCCGACTTATTCGGTTTATGGGCTCACTGAAGTCTGCAGCGTGTGTTCTCCATTTGCTAAGGCTGCAAGCGGGTGTCTGCCTTGGAGCAAGCGGCTTGCCATATAAACTTGCATTCGGTTGCGAAACTACCCTTGCCCCAGCAATGGGTTGTGCGCTAGGTTTGGAACCCGCCACGTAAAAACAGGCTCCAATGAAAAGGAGACACAAAGCTTCGGATGACCAGCGCCAAATAAGGAAAAGAAGAAATCTCGATACAGAGATTTACCATTATATTGTTTCGATTGCTGCTCAGTAGCTCCACCGTCGTCTGTATGAATAATACTTCTGCCTGGAAACTACTGCAATGGTCCGGAAGTTTATAGGATTAATTCAAATCGAGCTCCGCGCAAGTAACTTCCGGGCCTAAGTCCTTTGTACATCTTCGACGCGTCCGTACAAACATTTACCGAATGAGGATTTGTCATGATTTCACGACAGCCTTCGACCTCTATAGTAGAGAAATCGTTTTCTCCGCACTACACTGCATGATACCGGATTTCAGCGGGATTTTCTGCTTCAATATTTTAGCGTCAATATTAAGAAATAATCCCAGCTGCACCCTCTAATTTGCCTCTAAGCGCCCAAGGCCATCGTGGCCAGAATATTTGAACAGAGAACAAAGATCTCGGTCCCCATGGGACCCTAAGAATATACCAAGAGGATGTCTACGTCATTAGTCTGTGCGCAGAGATATATCTTTAACGAAGATATCACAACGAAAACATTTTAATATTAAGCAATATTCAGGCCGGGCTATTGGGCGGATATAATAGGAAAAGGTAAACAATATACCAATGAAGAATTCTAGAGGGTATCTTAACAGATCATTGCAGATTAAGAAGTCACCTGCATAAACTCGGGATCTGGTCTAGCGATTTATGGAATTCTCTGACAATGCAGGCAGGCAAGCAGGAGCCTACTTCGAGGATTCCGAGGCTGTCATACTAGAATACCCGCTGGGAGTCGTTCAAAGAAAAATTTGTTAGGTAAAGGACAGAAGTATTTAGATTATAGTAGCTATTAAGTGGCACTGGCCAAGAGGCAAGAGCAAGAATGGGGCTTCGATATAATAGAACTTGGCACAGCTGTCAACTAGAAGATACCGAAGAAAGAAAGACTTGGAAGTCACATGCAAACAATACTAGCAGGTATATCAGGTGTTGGCAAATTTGTTAGGGAATTAGGGAATGAGTTGATCAAAGCTGTTTTCCCAGTGCGAGTAGTGTGGCGAACATTTGCAACTGGANCTGGAAACTACTGCAATGGTCCGGAAGTTTATAGGATTAATTCAAATCGAGCTCCGCGCAAGTAACTTCCGGGCCTAAGTCCTTTGTACATCTTCGACGCGTCCGTACAAACATTTACATTGAGGATTTGTCATGATTTCACGACAGCCTTCGACCTCTATAGTAGAGAAATCGTTTTCTCCGCACTACACAATATTAGCAGGTATATCCATATCTCCTATAGACGGTGTTGGCAAATTTGTTAGGGAATTAGGGAATGAGTTGATCAAAGCTGTTTTCCCAGTGCGAGTAGTGTGGCGAACATTTGCAACTGGATACTATGGTATGGTATGGTACCCTTGCCCAGTCTCCAGATCAATGGCCAAATGGAAGATCGACCTATGTGTCTCGGCAGCCGGTTCGAAAACGCCCTATCTCAGAAAATGGTCCCAAATCGCCGATTTGACTGCCGATATATTAAATTTACATCAAGATACAGTGTTCTTCAAACATTTCCTGAGTTGGGGCGTTCTTCAACCAAATTCTGAGACATGGCATCCTTCAAACAAGTTTTGTAATAGGGTGTTCTTGAAAAATGTGCGGGCCTTTTTTGAACCAGCTTTCGATATAGGTCGATATTTCACTCAGCCATCGATATAGGTTCTTAGCGTAAACGATTGATCTACTGCATATCCTCTTCCAATAACTCTTTTGTAGCCGTCCTAAAAGCATTGTTTTAAGAATCCAATGGCTTTATTAGCGGCTTCTCAAGAACTGGTTCACTTTTATTGATCAGATAACCTCCAGCTCTCTTTAACAAATATGTTTTTTCACTTTTTCATCGTACGTTCTTCATACGCTGTGCCGAAGAAGTGTCTTAAGCTATGTATCCCTGAACTTTGGATTATAACTTTTCGAACTTAAAAAAGGCCCAGAATTGTATGCACGAATTTTTTTCAAAGCCTTTTATGAATTTGATAGCCTAAAGGTACCATTTCGTCTATGTATTTAGAAGTTTTGAAAAGATTCAATACTAATTTCAACACTCACCTGTATCCGCTTATTCGATTGTCCTTCCCATGTCACACGCTCATCGAATACGGGCTCGTGATTATCGCTTATGTAGAAAGGTTCCCAGATCTTGAAATTTCCTTCTCGCTTTGTTTGCGAAAAAAGAGTTAACTCTTCAGCATCCGAAGCATTTTCCCATTTGCTTTGCATTGGCACCAAATGACACAGTTTACATAAATTTGAATGAAAATGTATCGCGGTTTTATTGCGCAACATTTCTACTAAATAAGTTTTATTTTCAGGCACTTCGCTCTCCTTGGTTACCTCAAAAACGGGAATTGTAAAGACGCTGAAAATCGTACATGAAAAAAATTTATATTTTAAAAACAAAGAAAAAAACCAAGGCATTCATAACTTAACAACTTACCGATTCGGATTGGCCTCCAAATATACGCTTCGATTGCGCTCGACCATCTCCAAAAAGAGGCGCGGTAAATCAGGCGATGGTATCAATTCAATATCTGATGCGAAAATAAAATGTGTATTGACAGCTTTGCGTGCTATATTACGTCCAACATTAATAGGATAAGTCATATTGTGCCGCGTCTTGTACATCGCAGTACGATTGACATTTTCATATGGCGGTACGTCATCACAATCGTAAGGCCAGCGCAAGGCTTCCTCCTCAGTCAGCGGTATATACTTGGGCATATCGGTTGCCGGAAAGTAAATATGGAAAGTGACATAATCTCGTATGTACTGACTTTCAGGTAGGCAATTTCGCACAAATTGAATGCAACTCAAGGTGACATCGAAATCGTAGCCGGGCGCGAAGAGTGCAAAACTCAGGGGAGCTTGCCAACTAGCGATGAGAAGAACATAAAATACAATAAACAATAAAAGAAGAAGTATCAGAGTAGGTATAGTAGAAGTTCGACTTGAAGATGTGGTCATCTGCGAAATATCAAAAAGGTTAAATGCTACTAGTCAGGCATAGATTNTTGAAGATGTGGTCATCTGCGAAATATCAAAAAGGTTAAATGCTACTAGTAAGGCATAGATTCGGATTAGAATATTTTTAAGAGAGTTTCCACCTTTTTTAAAAAAAAAATTCAAATCAATTAATTAATAGGTTAAATAAAGTAGTACAATATCGGTGTCAAAAACGATTTATTTCAAAAAAATTATTGCAGGTGCCTCATGTTCAAAAATATAAAATCAATTTGACTAAATAGTTAAATAAAATACTCTAATAAGAGTTTAAAACGTCAAGAAATCATCGTCATTACGAGAAAATATTTTTGTCAGGGTGGCCAACTGTTAAAAAGTGTCAAATAAATTAAATAAGAAGTTTAACGAAACTGTTTTCATATGGGTACCAAACTATAAAGGCTAAAGCAAGCTTTAGTTCGAAAATATATTTTAAAAAAGTTGCCACCTATTCCGAAAGATAAAATCAAAGCTTTGTTTCAAATATATTTTTGAACAGGGTGGTAACCTTTTTCAAAATTTAAAATCAACTTCACAACGAATATATATTTTAAAAAAAGTTGCCACCTGTTCAAAAAGATAAAATCAAGGCTTGGTTTCGAAAATATATTTGTCAGGGTGGCCAACCGTTAAAAAGCTTCCAATAAATATAATTAACAAGTTGAATTATATTCTTTTCATCTAGGTATCAAACGAGAAAGTTTTAAGAAAGCTTTATTACGGAAATATGTTTAAAAAGTTGCCGCCTGTTAAAAAAAGATAATAAAATCAATTTCGTTTTCAGGTTAAGAATAGTCTTTTCCTAAGAGTTTAAAACGAGAGAGGCTTAAAAATGCTTGGTTTCGAAAATATGTTTGAACAGGGTTGCCACCTTTTAAAAAATTAAAATCAATTTCATTAACAACTTAAATGAAATATTTCATATGGGTATCGAAGAAGAGAGATTTAAGAAAGCTAAATTCGAATGTATTTCCGAATAGGTTGGCTACCTGTATAGAAATTCAAATTCACCTTAATTAAAACGCTTAAATGAACTATTTTAATTTGGGTATCGAAAGAGAGAATTTTAGAAAGCTTACTTTAAAATTTTTTTTGAATAGAGTTAAATATTCCAAAGTAATTTAATTAGCAAGTTAAATTAAATATCCTAATAAAATCTAATATCAAATGAAAGAGGCTTAAGAAAACTTTATTTGGAAGATATTTTTGAAGTGGGTTTCCACATTTTCATAACTTCAAAATCAATTTAATTAAAATAGTTCAGATATTTCAATACTAGCCCGCCACATATGCGCAAGAATGTGATCCTAAAATTTTTTAGAAAGATGGCAACTACCTTAAAAAAAATAAAACCTTATAGCACATTTGCAGACCAAATCCTTTCATTTGATACCTTACAACAAGTTGAATGAAATACCTTAACATGGCTATAAACATTCGAGATTTAAAAAAAAAAAAGCTTTATTCAAGACTAATTCGAAGAGAGGTGCCACCTGTTAGAAATTCAAAATAAATTTAATTGCAAAATTAAACGAAATATTTTAATGTGATACCGGAAAAGGCAAATATCGAGACTGACTTAATTAAGATAAAATCCAAGTAAAAACATTAAATTGATCTACGTATATCGTTTGGTTTAACCGATTGAGGTGCAGCTGTAACAATTGATCATCTGAGCGGGACCACAGCTAAAAGCTACTGCGGACATATGTATGTAAAAATTTAAATAATACTCACCGTTCAATCAGAACTGGCAAACTATCGAAGAATGTATAATCGCCATTTGTGGTCAATGTAATACTATCGGCACAACCTATCCATGTGCTCACTTCGCCACGTATATAATTTTGCACCAACCAATACTTGCCATACTGTATCTTCTCCAACTTCAACGGACGATCAACACAATGCAGCAATTCCTTCAAACCTCTCCCAGTGTGGACTTCTGCGCCAACTCTCTCAATCTTCACTATCATTTGGTTCCTCCTCGAAAAGTTCTTCTTCAATAACTTTATTTTGTTGCTGTACATAATCTGCCTCTTTCGATTTCAAGTCCTCTTCTATAATACCTTCTCCCAGCGAGGGTGTTACGATTAACACTTCCCAATTCACGGCTGTCATCGGGTTCGGCTAATTTGCGACGTTGCAACTCTTTCTCGAATAGCTCATCGCCGAAGAAGACTTCGTCAGCAGTTCTATTTAATTGTTGTATATTACTGAATGTTATACCCTCTTGTATGGCAATGCTGGCACGAAAGGCATGTCTCATAAAGACAAAGAAGCCAATGAGGATAAATAAGGAGAATACGAGTACTGGAAAGTCGCGTTTTAGCATTTTAAAATAGGGAGTAGCAGTATTAAACTGGTTGTGCTTTTTTACTTGTATCATGGATTGCTGAAAAATAAGAAAAATACGTTTTTATCAATTTATTTTTCTGATTATTATTATTGTTATTATTAGGGCATATTGTGCTAACTCTTATCTAGTCACCCCAACCTTAGCATATTAAGCACATTGGAGGTTGTCATGTTCATGATTCTGAATGGTGTATAAATCTAACCCTGGCATTCAGTAAGCGGTCTCTAGTCACTAATAGTGACTTTTGGTGGTGAACTTGGATTTTGAGACTATTTGGTATTCAGTACGCTGTCTCACGTCTCTAGTCTCGAAAAAAGTCAGCTGACTAAGAGCAGGTCTCAAAAACAAAAACATGGAGAAAAATTAATTGCTTTCCATTTTATTTAAAAAAAAAAACGCGAATATGAAACGAGGAAATTTGTTCAATAAAAATTTCGTTAGGAAATAAGCCAAAATGCTTTAATATCATACAAATCCATTGAAAATAAAAATTATTTTTTTTTTTACATTAAAATCTAAAGATTATTAAGAAAAATAAAACTAATAAAAAAATAATAATAAATAATAATAAATAAAAAAAATATAAAAAAGTCCTCTACGCCCGAGGAGTACTCGAACCCGGACCCTCTCGACCGGCAGCATACACAAACGCTATCAGTTGACTGTCTGTGTTTGTTTTCACCACACATTTTTGGTGAACTTTTTGTGACTTTCTCCTACTGAATAGCCAAATCATCTCAAGTCACAAAAATTGCTAATCTCAAATTTAATGACTTGAGATGAGACTGAATTACTGAATGCCAGGGTAAGTCGCACTATATGCGGGCAGTCTGCTGTGACTTGTCAGGTATACGGTGAGAGTTATTAAACCATCTCTGCTAAAATTTAATAGCCGCTCCAAGATTCCACGAGTTATGAATCTTTTGGGCTGCCTTTTGCTCTTTGTCGTGCGCTATTTGTTTGCAATTTGCAAGTCCTATCATCCACTTAAAAGCTTTGTGGTTTGGCTCGGAACCCACGGCAAGGTTACTCTATTGAATCATGAGAATTTATATGTATCTTTAAATTTATAAAATAGTCTTTCGATCGTGAGTTTTTCTTTTACAAAGTGACAAAAAAACATTATTTTTGTTGTTTTTCATTCCGCAAAAAAAACTAATATGCCTAATATGCATGCATTCATACATACATATATATATATGGATGTACGTAGTAAACAACATACTAAAAAATTAAGAGATTTACTAATTAAACATCAGGACTTAAGCTGGATTTGTATATAAAATGATTCTGCAAGAATTTGCTTTGATTTAATACATGGGCTGTAGATGTGCAAAACTGTTTTACTTTTTCGAAAAGAGTTGACGTCTGTTAAGCAATTAAACTCGAATTATTTCATTGTCAATGCCACCAGGTGCACACCGTTCATTAGAATTTCAAAGGTGAGGAGTCAAATTAAATAATATCTAAAAAGTTAAAATAATTAAAAAAAAAATGGATATACATAAATCGCACTGTTTTTGAGAAGCTTTGTTTATTAACTTAATTGTAGGAGGGTTCCCACCTCTTAAAAAAAAAATCCAATTGAATTAAGGTAGTTAGTTAATGGAAATATGTATCAACATATGGGCGCCGGACGAAAAGAGTTTAAGAAGGTAGTAGTTTATAAATATTTTGGAAAAGGTTTGCCACCTATTTGAAATGTCGAGATTATCTAACTTATACACGGGTTATATTTTAATAATACAGGATTTGTGTCACATGAAAGAGTGTTAAAAAATATTGAGCTTCAACAACTAGAAACATTTCCAAAGTCTTTGAAGAGGGTTGTCACCTGTTTACAAATTTAAATTATTTAAAAAGTTATATGAATTACTTAAATATGGGTTCAATCGAAATGGGCTTAAAAAGGCTTTATTTCTGAAGTATATTCAGACAGTTGCCACATGTTTCAACTTAATGTTAATTGAAATATTTATCGCAATGTCAGACGAAAGACATTTTAGAAGGTTTTAGCTTGAATAAGCTTTGGAAGAGGATTGCCACCTATATGAAAAGTCGAATTTTGTTAACGTACATCTAAGTTTTAAGAAGTATTAAAACATGAGCGTCCATCGAAAGAGACTTATGAAAGCTTTAGTTTGTAGATCTAATCTAAACATGTAATAAAATTGTAACGGGCCGATGTCTGCACATTTTAGATACTAAAGAAAAATTAATATAGGGGTGAAGCCAAATTAACAGTTTTTGAGAATTTTTGTCTGTCTGTCCGTTTGTCTGTATGTATGTATGTATGTTTGAATGCTCATCACTCGAAAACTAATGCATGGAATTGAATCAAGTTTTCACCGATGTATTTCCAGAGATCTAGCTTAAAATATGGAAAGAAAAAAATTTGAGAGTTGCCACTTGTTTGAAAATTACAGTTTGAGTAAATTGATAAGATAAATTAAATTTTGCCATAAGGCTGGCATAAGAAAGAGGTTTAAGAAGGCTTATAGCCGAAAATATCTTTTTTGGATATTGCCACATGTTTAAAATTTTTAATTTAATTTCTTTGAAAAGATAAATTAAGTATTGCAATATGGATATCAAACCGAAGAGGTTAAGGAAAGTTTACTGCCGAAAAAAATTTAGAGAAGGGCTGCCACCTGTTTTTATTTAAATTAATTGATAAAATAAATGAAATTTTACAATACGGCTATCAAATAACACAAACCTATTTTAAGACGCAGTGAAGAACGACGGCTATTTGCTCGTTAAGTATATACATATGTACATATTATACTTACGGTGACCATTCGTACCGATTTTGGCGGGAAAGTACCGATTTTGAGAAAATTGTCCCGCTGAAAATTTTTTTAAAGTCGAGACGTATAAGTGTCCGGATTTTTCATATTATTATCGACTAAATCCCGATTTTAAATGTTTTTTTTTTGTTAATTTAATCATAGTTTCCCTGAACTTTGGCCAAAAAATAATTTTCCGTGCAGCACTTTCGTTATTATCACAATGGACATAGAATATAAGGGAGCCATAAACATATCCAGCATCTTTATTTTCTATGATCTTTGGTTAGGCTTTATTCTGTCAAACTGGTACTCTCGCCTTGTCCAAATTTTTTTTAAGGTTTTTATAATTATTTGTCGGCCCATGTGGTGTAGTGGTAAGCAGTGCGCGCTTCCACTCCACAATGCCTGGGTTCAAACCCTGGTCAAAGCAACATCGCAAAAATATAGAAAAAAGGTTTTTTCTTAACAGCGGTCGTCCCTCGGCAGGCAATGGCAAACCTCCGAGTGTATTTCTGCCATGAAAAACAGCTTCTCATAAAAATACAATCGCCGTTCGGAGTCGGCGTAAAACTGTAGGTCCCTCCGCTTTGTGTGACAACATCAAGGCGCACGCCACAAGTTGGAGGAGAAGCTCGGCCAAACACTAACATATGTGTAAGCGCCAATCTATTATTATTTATACATAATTATTTGTTAAGCCTTTTTTTTTTGATGAAACGATTTTAACTTGAATTTAATACTGAAAATAATACTAATTCCCTTAAAAAATTCATAGATGTGAAAAATATAAGCTGTAGATACAGTGGAGAAAATATAAATAGGGAAGACACATTTTAGAATTCTTTGGCCACTATTTAATATTTCTTATATTTTTTATGAAAGTGTAGCTCGAAAATTGTACAACAATTAATAAAGTTCGACAAATTTTCATCAAAATTTGGAGCTTTTTAATTAGATTTCTTAAAAAATTCTAGGTATACAGTTTTTCAGCTCCTTAGTTGCAAAGTGCAAATTTTAAGTACCGTTCATTTTTAGTAATTGTTTGTTTTGTGTAAGGTGTTGCCCATTTGCTCCATACAAAAATTGTGTACTTTGTATGAAAGAAAATTCGCGAATGAAAAATTTTCCAAAATTAACGGTAAGTCCAAGATACTTCAAACAAGCACTTTATTATAATAAAATCTAATGGGTTACGAAACTGCAACAGCATTGTTTTGNAAATTCATAGATGTGAAAAATATAAGCTGTAGATACAGTGGAGAAAATATAAATAGGGAAGACACATTTTAGAATTCTTTGGCCACTATTTAATATTTCTTATATTTTTTATGAAAGTGTAGCTCAAAAATTTTAAGTACCGTTCATTTTTAGTAATTGTTTGTTTTGTGTAAGGTGTTGCCCATTTGCCCCGTAAAAAAATTGTTTAACATACTTTGTATGAAAGAAAATGCGCGAATGAAAAATTTTCCAAAATTAACGGTAAGTCCAAGATACTTCAAACAAGCACTTTATTATACTAAAATTTAATGGGTTACGAAACTGCAACAGCATTGTTTTGAATAGTTCTAGAAAATCTGATTCAAATTGTCACCAACATTCATTAAAATTCATCGAATTTTTATAAATTTTCTACAAAGTTTGAAACTTTTTGTTTAGCAGTAAGTTATATTTTCATAAAAAATAAACATTTTTTAAACAAAGGAAAGTAGCCTAAAATTGCTTAAATTTCTTACATATATTGTGTGTATAAATTTTGCGATCGATTTTCAAGTTATTTTCTCTTTGTCTTGTTTTAAATAAAGCTGTATTAAAAGATGTTATAGCTTCAAATTCTAAAAACAAAATTCTATGTGCAGATTCGAT